TTACGAGTACAAGTTGGCAACTCGTATTGTGTTAAATGTTAACACTGTGATAACATCACGCTGGCGCGGTATGACTTTGCATCTCATTTTCAAAACCTCTTGACCTACCATGGCTGAAATGTAAGGATACAAACTTCCACTGTGTTCGCTCACTCATTCTTCATCCCTTGTTATGCCCGCGGGGGCCGTCAGCTTCGAGTCATCGCAGGGCCCACATGTGGCTACTTAAGGATATTTGTTTTGTTTTTGGCCATCATTGTGGAACTTTCTCCACAAAGGATCGTGCCACAAATCACATCCAATCCATCATCGTGTCTACGGCACACCGTAGTTTTCAATTTGGAAGTAGATTATTCGCCACCACAAACGCCTACGCTCAATGCGACCGCAAGCATTGTAATGTGTGTGGGGAAAAAATGTGTTGTCGATACGTCAGAGATAATCTTGATTTGAAGCTTTCGTGACTGCAGGAATCCATACTCTTTGGTTCTTTCGGTAAAATCACGTAGGTATAAAAATAAAACAAAAAATAATATATCCCGACGTTTCGATCGCAACACAAGCGGTCGTCCTCAGGCGGAAAAAATTATCCAGCTGGTTCAGCAGTTCCACTGCTTGATTATTTTTTCCGCCTGATAGTTTGATAGTTTGTAACGAGCACAAATTACGTAAAACGGAAGAAAAAAAACGTCGTTCGTTTACAAACTCAGATGTGGAAGCTGCTACTTCTACCCCTCCTCATCCTCTATATCACCCACCCAATAACACTAACTTTAAATTTCGATTTAAAGCTTTCGTGACTGTAGGGATTCATCTTCTTGGTTCTTTCGGTAAAGTCACGTAGAAGGGAAGTAATAATATAATAAAAAATAAAACATAATAAAATAATTCTCACGACGTTTCGGCCACGTCGTAAGAATTATTTTATTACGTTTTATTTTTATTATTTTATTACTTCCCTTCTACGTGACTTTACCGAAAGAACCGAGAAGATGAACACTAACATTCTCTGTGCTGTTATTTGTGGGGCCTTCTGTGGTTCTTTGTTCTTGCTCAATTCCCCAAAGAGTGAAACTGCGGCGAATATCACTATACATTGCGCCTTAATATCGATATAATCCCAACAACAACAGAGCACGTCAACATCCCTTAATGACAATTATAGTACTTGCTGTACCACAGAGAAAGAAGGTTGTGGCGTTGAGTAAAGCACGGTGCAATTTAGGACCTCGCGTTATAATTTCTTGAATAATGTAGCGACTCTGGCAACGCCATGGCAATTACTCTCTACAGTACGTGCTGGGTAATACTCTCCCACATAGTCATTGCAAGTCAGGCTTTGGTCCAAAGGCAGACCTGGCTGGGGATATGGTGAATACTGAAAGATAGCGTGGGAAGAGGGGGCAGAACGGGTAAGGGAAAAAGAGTATAATTTCTATCCAGCGCCCTATTGACAAATCCCTACACTTTGGGCGCACTCTCGCTAATTGCAGCACATCTGTTGTGAATATGCTATCAGGTGCCAGGTGTGTTTCATTGACATTCGAGAGACAAAGGGGAGATTGCACTTTGTCATTAGTGGTCAAGACATCACTTAATTTCTTCAGGATGGAGGGAGGGCAGCAATGGCCAATTGATGTTCAGGGACCTCACTGTACTTGAACATTTATCTCCCTTTGAGATTGTCCTGAGAGCAGGGCTTTAGGCAGTGAAGGGGCTTTGCCACTTGACAATGCAGGTGACACTTATTTGAACATTTTAACATTTCAGCTGTCACTCATTCCCTCTAGATTTTCAAACAAGAGCCTGTTCGTGTCTTTTTAATGGGGGGGGGGGGGGGGGGATGAACACAATTTGGAGTAATTGTTCCAGACAGCTGAATCGCAGATACAGGCACGTGACGAAAAGGAATGGTATGCTGACAAATACGGAGCAAACAGTCATCTTCATATTGTTGCCATCATCGTCATTAGCAGCAGCAGCCATAGTCTACCCACTGCTGGATGAAGGCTTCCCTATTAAGTTGCAGTCCCTCGCGGTCCTAGCGATGCGACACTCAATATCACTCCTCCAATGCAACTGTGCTCCCTGCTTCATCTCCGCACTGATTGGACCCTTGGGTGCGTTTTCTCTTTCGGCTGCCACTCCGTCAAGTTCAACGGGGGTTGATTCGCTCATCAGAGTCTGTGCGTCTTACAGAGAAACGGTCACATCCAGATGGCATCCTCTTTCTACACCCACACGGTGCAGACACTCATTTCAGTTAATGTCTCTCAAATACACAAGTATTTAGAACCAACTGGAGTTAAAACAGTCAGAGTGAGTTCTTGCTCAAATAAGCATTGAGGCACCGGTCATCTCCTCTTTACACCCCGGAGCCAAAGGTAGAAATTCCACATTATTATGACAGGGTTGACTCTATCCAGAGGGCAACTGGAGACTTTCCACAGCGTGGTAGTCATGTTATGACCCCAGAGGGACGATGGTTTGAGTCAAGATTTGAACTTGCAACCTACCAACCGCACGCTACTCGCACTACCAGAGCCACCGGGGCAGATATATGAACATCCACACTTATGAATGGACTGCCATAATGTTTCATTATTTGTAAACATTCGACTTGCGAAAATTCGGTCGTACTTATGAACAAACACCACGGGACTATTTTGTTCGGCGCAGCGATCCTCCGCGGGATGAGCATCCCGCTTAATGCACAATGACAGTGAACCGTTTGACTTAAGGTTAGTAAAAGTAAAACATATTTGTTTTATTTCTCCTTTGGTTTATTGTATGTTTTACTCACTAGACAGTATTATAACAGTATTATATGCAAATGTGCACTATTTCTTAGTTATCATTTTGACAATGCATCCCTTTTTGTTAACCATAACACATTTCACAGCACTGACCTACGTACAATTAAATATCGAGTTTCGAGAAACGAACAAACCGACTTACGAATGGATCTCAGGAATCTAATTAGTTCGTAAGTCGAGGACTGCATGTGTTTGTATCTCCATATGTTTTTTTACAACACTATAAAGCACACGATGCATAAATATATAGCTATTTACTCGTAACTAATTTTGGTTCGTGAATGCAATTGGAGACAGCGATCGAGTTCATGTCGGTCTTCCATTTTAAGATTGCGACATTTGTAAGGTGAACACAAACCATTTTCATTTAGAATCGCATGTTGTCAGCTACAGCGCTGACTGCTTGAGGTTTACCATACTAATTTTAAATTTGAAGTTTTCGTGACTGCAAGGATCCATACTCTTTGTTTACCATACTACTCCATGTAAAATTGTGTAAGAACGTACATACACAGACGTCCATATACTGTATAAAGAATAAGTAATTTACAACTTTAGTCAATGCTGGATAAAGACCGCCCGATGCCATGTCAAGCATTGGGAGTTGTACTTAATGGTGCTTAGTTGATGAAGGGTTGAGATGGGTGCGCGGCGGACGAGTTTAAATACAATTAGCAACCGATGCTAGGCCGGCAATCAAACTGATGTCACTGGGTTCATAACAGTGTGCTAACCATTGCGCCACCGCTCCCTCCCCCCCTTCCCCCCACAATAAAGTGGTCAATTCGTACGAGCGGCGAAACTTTGCACGCATCCGCCAACGCTGCGTTTCAGTCATCTGTTTGGTGGAATTCTAACACGTTGATAATAACCATTGCGCTGCCGTGCGTAGCAGAGCTCTCAGCTAAAGGCCTCGACAACACTGGAAACAGATGCGAGCATCGTCGTGACCGAACGCATAAGTGATGGTGATCATAATGGGGCCGTCCATAAATGACGTCACGCACCTTGGGGGGGGGGTCAGACATTGACGATGTGTGACGAGGGGGGGGGGGGTTGAGAAATGTGACGTCACATGAAAATGCGCAACTTTAAATATATACTATATAGACAACACGTTCTACTTAAGACTTTTTAATAAATGTTTTCTCCTACAACATCAGAGTGCAGCGCCACATTAAATACGCACTACAATGACAATAGTTAAAAGCGATTTGAAGCATGTTTTATTTGGGGGGGGGGGGCAGAGCTTTGTGACGTCATATTTGAGGTGGGGGTCTGACTTTTTGTGACGCCGAGTGACGAGGGGGGTGGGGGTCCAAAATCGTCCAAAATCGCGTGACGTCATTTATGGACGGCCCCTGTCCTGCAGTTGTGAATTAATTCCAACGGAACTGGACTTATACACACAAACAAACACACAAAAACTCGTTAAGTAACGCAGGATTTACTGCTTATTGCTACTTTATTCAGTTTGATCAAGTTTATCCCAAGTGGCCTTAGGTTACGTGGCGGTTTAGAGGAGTTCGCAGTCCCGAGTTCGAGTCATCCACTGGCACCACCACACTCCTGCAATGCGCATGGCACAGCGGCGCGCAAGCACTGCAAGCGGGACTTCATCCGCGTTTACTTGCGCGTAAATGCGTTACGTCAATTAATCAATGCAACCATCAATCAGGCGCGGGGGGGGGGGGGTGCCTCGCCAGGGCATAAACACCCAGAGCACTTGCTCCGAATCCGGAGACCATCCCGAGGGAGACTTCCCACTCCACCGCCACCACCACCACCCCCAAGGTCACGTTTTATTTGTTCAACTCGTGAAGAATGTGCACGCCGAGGAGGAATAAGGCGTGAGCGCTGCTTTGAAACTCTCCGTGGACATCGATGCGCACGTGGGGGGGGGGGGGGTGGGTGTGTGATGGGCAGTCGGCTCTTTCCGCGAGGACCGGAGTGCGGATGGGTGAAGGGTAGAGTGCGGGTGGGGGAGGCGGGATTGTTGTGACGTCCTGCCAACTACAGAGAGATCTCAACGAAGGCTGGCTAGGGTGGGAAGGGGGGGGTAGGAGGTAGGGTGAGGAGGGATTGGGGGCCTGATTTGGGGGGGGAGGAGGAGGAGGGTGAATGAGGGGAGGGAGGGGTGCTACCGCCGTGCGTGCGCGCGCGAAGCCAAACGCGACCCCGACTCGTTGTGCTGTAATGCGAGCCTCCTCCTACTCCTCTTCCTCCTCCTCCTCATCCACCGCCACCACCGACCACCCGAGCCGCTCGCGCATCATGCGCGGCGCAAACAACCCAAGGCGCGTCTCCCTTTGAAGAAGGGAATCCGTAACGGCGCGTTGCGAGACGCAGCGGCGGCGGCGGCGGAGGAAGGGAGCGAGTGAGGAGTGGAGTCCCGTGGGCTCGTCCGCTGGCCCGTGCCCGCTGCGCTCGGGGATAAAGCGCGGCGCAATCCGAGGGAGACCGAGAGCCTCAAAAGCTCCGAGAGTTGTTCTCGGTGCTCTCTCCAACTTGGGAGTAAAATACGCAGCGAGCGAGCGTTGTGTATGGAGCCCGTCAGGATGTCCGCTCTCGTCCTGTTCGCCCTGGCTGCGCACGCTGCCGCTGCGATGGAGTTTACCGGTGAGTTGCGGCGCGTATTTGTGTCTTGTTGTTGTTGTTAGTGTGTACGCATGTGCGCGTGCTTTGCGCCGACGGGTAGGGGACGTGTGCGCATCCCCGGCTGAAGTGCGCACGTGCTCACGCACGCGTGCGCGCGTTTCTGCGGAGGCATATCGGATGAGCGAGTCAGTGTATTGTTCATATGTCTGTGTGTGTGTGTATATATATGAACGTGGAATGCTTAGGCAGTAAAGTTCAAACTTTCCCCCACCCCCCCTCCCTGCTGGCGCGAGTTCTGGGGTGGGTAGAGAGACGGCAAAAGAGTGATCATGCCCCAAATGCTCTGCAGCTGAGTCCTGGACCCTTCAGTTGTTCCCATCGGCCAAGCACGGATGACGAGAGACGTCCCCCAATGCGAGTTGGTGGTTGTTGTTGTTGTTGTTGTTTTTTTTTGTTACGTTGAGCCCGCGATGTGGCTCCCACGCTCCGGGGGCTAATGTATGCCATTTATATCGTTCATAAGCGTTCTTGTTGTTTAGTTGGGAGGCACGTGATTTATGGAGCGCGTAAACTTTCCCGGAGGGAGCCCTGGCAAAGGCAAACTTGCGCTGTTTGAACAGTGTCCGGGCTCAACGCGAAAGCATTTGTTTGATTTCAGTGGATCATTCGCAACCCGGTTCCCCCTTATCATTCACCACGGAAGTGGTTTGTTGCAAATTGTGATGCAAATGCGTCCGAGTGGCTTTCCGGAGCGATTCATTATCCAGTCTTCGCCTTTTAAATGACAATAGTGTTTTGCATCGAGGCTCACTGTGTTTTTTTTTTTACGTGGCCGCGCCGATTAACATATTCAAATGGTCGGGATTTGGGACTGCCGAGGGAGTAACGTACGTTCGGTGTGGATGCTGTGGCCGAGGGCCAGAGACCACCAAAGAATGTCAACCCTCCGGTGGATTTAAGATTAGTGAGATTACTCATGCACCCGGACCCCGAGCATGCAACGTCGGAGAGATGAGGGTGCGTGGCACTGCTAACCACAGCGTCGCGTCGTCTATTTATGAACAGCCTTTTCCTTTGTTGCGCCCAAGATAACATCGGTTGGAAATCTTCTTTTATGAGCAACTGCGGGCGTCTAAAATACAGAGCGGTTATTGTTGAGAGAAAAGAAAGGAGAGAAAGAGAGACACATACACTCTCGCACCCACGTGGGCAGAGAGCCAAACTTGGGTCTTCCTCCACATCCCCGCCAATCCCCTCCCTCCCTCCTTAAAAGTTAAGCAATTGTGCCAAATAACGAAAGAGTAAACAAACATTTATGGTCGCAGAAAGCTTGCCGTGGTTACCATCCTGATGGGATTTAATTCAGACTAATTCGGATGCATTGGGCAACATTATTAGCCCGTTAATGCGGGCGTTTTTAAATGGATGCCGAAATGCTTGCAGTACGCTTGCCTGCCAACAGCACAAAAGGGCTTGCGAGACACATTACGAATATTGGTGGACATCGAGTTGACGCAGCTATTACGTCTATTGCCATCAGCCGTTTAAACGTGCTCTCACTCTCCCCTCTAGATGTAATTCCAGTATATGCCAGATTATTTGTTGAATGCCGTATTGCTAACAGGAAGTTGGAAGCTCTATTTTAAACATTTTTTTTCCTTCGCTCTCTGAACTTTCTTGAATTGAATTTGCTTGAGAGTAATAGTAAATTTTGCATTGTAGATTTGTTTACGCAAAGCCAAGAGTGTAGGGGTTTTTTTTTTTGCTCACATTTTGCACGCGCATTTTTATAACCAGCTTTTTTGCAATACTACATGCCGTGCTCACTATGTCAAGCTTTTTCCTCGTCTAAAAAGTTAAAACATTTTCTAAACCATCCCACGCCAAGTGTATACGCGTCTTTATCCGTGTGTAATAGCTGTTGACATTACGGTGTATACTCTGCATGGAAGCACCCAGCCATTAGTGTCTACTGCTTAGGGTAGGCTCCCAAGGCTCGAGATGTTAAGGATTGCAGGAAAGGGGCTCGGATTGGGGACTGGGTTATTGGTTAATAGCTTGCAAGCATTTGGCGTCATTGAGGTTCAGGGTTAGGTGTTACAAATGTAATGATAGTGATTTCGTTATATGTTTGGGTGTACTGTATACATTTAGGTGGTCTGAGTTCATTAGGCTTGTGGAGTAATTTGTAGGGCAGCTCAAGAGGTTTTAATATGAAAATCGTTAATCATAGCAGGGTTCTATCTAGGCGCTGGAGAAGGTTTAGTATACATTACTGAAGCATTGCACCTTCCCACTGAAACTCGTACTGTCTTGCAAACTGCGTATGGCCAAAGGGTGACATGAGACGGTAAAGAAGGTGATACTGACCTCAGGTCTTTAAAGCTAATTGTTGTTTGTTAAGCAGTGTCCATTACATTATACCTAGCATTGTACCTGTACAATAGGGATATATTGACATTTGAAACCATGATGACCTGAATACGTCAATGATCGCCAAGCAGTTAAATGGCCCCAGACCAAATTTGATGCACATTCATTGGCGAAAAACAAACCTGACGTTACATGAAAACCCAAAGATTCACGTAATAAAAACCAATTATCTGTGTAAGGCATGCCACAACATTCGAGCACAATACGGTGCCCTTTAATCCCTGGCTTGCTCACACGCTGCCGTGAGCAAGCGATGGTGATGTCAACGACCGTGGCGCATTGACGATGCTGGCATTAGCCCACGTAAAGCCGCTTGCGTTGATATAATGGTTAAAAAAAAAGTGATTGTGTTGTCGTGGCAAAAAAAAAAGCTGCCGCACACTGCGAGAGCGTGTTGATTGTGAACTTCCTAACCGAGTCGGAATCTGTATTTAGACTGTGGGAATTTGATGAACACACGAATCTCTTTGTCACGGTTGTCCAGTCGTTTTCACAGATGTGCGGTAGTGATGTGCATCATGGAACAGGGTGGTCTCCACCGCACTCTTCAGATGACAAGTCGTGGTGTTGTTGTTCTTGTTACCTTGATTTGGCAGTCTGCAGCTGTCTAAAAAGTTTGCACTTGCTCCCATTTCGTGAGTTTATTAAGTTTGTTTTTAGCCAGCTGGCCAGGATTGGGCACAGCTGAGCCCACCACGTTTCACCCAGACAACTGGAGAACACAGACGAAGTGTTTCTAACTTAACATTGAAACTATCGATAACATGTTTAAATATTCTTGGGTGTTTTCGGTAAAGTCACGTAGGTAAAAAAATAAAATTACTAAACGTAAAATAAAATAAAAATCACGACGTTTCGGAGGCAACACAAGCTTCCGTCTTCAGGTGGGACCGTCACAGCACGATAGCTGTATCAAGTAAGAGAAATTCCAAGAAAACAGTCCTTGTATATATACTGGTTGAGGGTGGGAGGAGCCAAGGTAGGCCTCCTTTTTATTATTATGGTAAGGTTGGTGCGGCTGAAACTACGGCTAGTCTACGTAACAAAGGACTGAGCCTTTGTTATGTAGACTGGCTGAGAGGGGGGGAGGGGTTGCCAGAGTTGTTAAAGTGCAACTGCTGCTAATGGGACCGCTACGTGACTTTACCGAAAAAACCCAAGAATATGAATCCTTGCAGTCACGAAAGCTTCAAATCTAGAACATGTTTAAAAATCGCAGTCAAGATGAGATAAAAAACGTAAAACCTCATCAGTGTTCCTCATACTATCCTGGACATTGCTCCAGTGCATAACCATATTCTACCTACGTGACTTTACCGAAAGAACCAAAGAGTATGGATTCCTGCGGTCACAAAAAACTTCAAATCAAAATCAGACTATTATTATTATATAACGGAACGCCGTGAGGAAAATGTTTGCAATTTAAAAGCAGTACTTGCACACCATCGATCTGCACGAGAGTACGGAGGGTAAATCGTCTCGTCCCAGCCGTTGCCATCGGTGCTATTTTTGAATTTAGTAGCTTTTTTCATTTCTTAGGATGCATGCCGATGAGAAGACATTCAATTTTAAATGATTAAATAAATGTAACAAACGCCGCTCCTTGTACCAGGAAGGATGAGGGTGGAGATGTGTGTGTGTGTGTGTTAGCGAGCACCTATCAAGGCCGGCACAGCACACGAGGGGGTGGGTGGCCAACACCACGCCTGGCTGCTTTTGTCTTCCCAGTGGCGATGTTTACACATCACACCCGGTACCCATTTGAGGCTGAGTCGACCTACGGGAGGCCCAGGACCGGTTGAGATAATCGTCACTGGGTGTTGGCCGCTGAGCAGGAATCGAACCCGGGTCGCCAGGTTCGTAGCGCAGCGCGCTAACCGCTGCACTACCGCTCCCCAAAGGCTATACGGAGATCTTTGTGTGGTTTTTGGTTGATTTTGTTTTCAATCTATAATTAGACACGTATCCTAAACATGCAGACTCTGTGTTCGACATCCAATTGTTATTCCCCTGAGCAGATACTGCACTCCAAATGTACACAGCATTCGTATCAACAAACGTAAACCGTGTCCCATGTGGGATTTCATGAACACTCTTGAAAGGTACGTCTGTCATTCTAATTATAGAACGGCGTGGCTTTGTTCAAACTTTTGCCGTAATTTTCTTCATTAGTGTAAAAGATGTAAACTGCGATGCATACCTAGTGGGGGATTCACCCTCGTGCAATGCATGCGCCAATCCCCTGTTCCATTGGCAGTATTAAAAAATGTAACTGTTGTTGCATACCCGGCCTCAAATAAAATAAAAACCCTTGTCATAGCCAGGTGTGCTGCTTTTCACTGGGCACATTCAGACCGGTTCATCTCGCAGTGGCAGTGCCCTTCAATTTAACCCCAGTCCCTTTGTGGGTGCCCTGCTTTCCTCCGCTCCTGAAGTTCTCTCTCTCTCTCCCTCCCTCCCCCCCACACAAACACAAACTGCTCTAATGCATTCATGTGTTGCATGCCTTCTCAGTATGCTGCTTATGTTCTTGGGAAATGGCCAGAGGCGGCGATCTTAATGGAATAACCATCAATTATTTTGTTTTA